ATCGGAATCCAGGCTCCTAGGTTCTGGGCTGTGGTGAGCGGCAACTGGATGGATGCGGCCGCCACCTCACTCTTCTTGCACGTCTGCGCAATCTCCTCCACCACCTTCTTCATGATCACCCTGGACGCCTCCGCTCAGATCCTGCGCCCCGAAATCTACCGACCCGTTGCTCGAACTGATGGATCGGGGAAAATTTTCCCCCAATTCGGCCTCACGCAGGGATTTACCCGGCTGATTCGAAGGATGTTGTGGATTGAGATGTCTCTGATATCTGATGTCACGACCCTCACTCGATTATACACCATAATCGATACAGGGTTCGCGGCGTCACGCCGGAATTGGGGAAGAAATGCTGACGCGACAACTTGAGGAGGAAGAAAAGTAGGAGAAGGATAGACTGATTCTCGGTACACTATTCTTGATTGCCCCCTCCACATGCCAGTCGCACCTTCTTGTATTGTTGGAGCGCTTAATCTCTGGGCTGGGCCGGGCCTTGTGACGTTGTTGGGCCTCGCTATCCACCTGGGTTTCATGTTGGCTCTGTCTCTCGTTTGTTCGCCTCTTGACCTTGATCGTCTCTGGTAGGTGCATAGTAGTGACGACATGTTTCTCACGAGCTCACTCAATGCACTCCTCTTCGGCACTAATCCATGGTCGAAATCTTCCTTGGATCCGTGATTTGGAGCATGGTGGTAGTCCATTTACTATTGGACTGTTTTTCTGGTTTGCAGAGATCGAGATGTTGTACTTGTGCTTATTCCGTCGCCTATCCAAATAAATAACTTGATTAGATGTCACTAGGCAAAAGTCTAAGCACACCTTCGGATTGGTGTCCTCAACATCATTTCTCTGTTGAGAGCATTGCTTTAGGAGAAATGGCTTGGAGGTCCTAGTTGGTATTTCTTTGGTGCTCGCCGCGGTTTTAGATTATTCGACAGGGACGCTATGTACGTCATCGTTGGTGAGTCCAAAATAATAACTTTTTTCAGGGTTCTCTGAGTCTCGACATCTACCTGCCAACTTCAAACAATCAAGAGTGGTCGCCACCCACCTGTCAAACTCTTTTAGGCAATCAAGAGTTGTCTTTTGAAGTTATTGTTTTTTGGAGGTGACCGGCGTTGGTCTAAGACGTGGTTTTGTTGCTTAGTGTAGGACAAGCTTTTTGCGTTGAAGTTCCTATATTGTGGCGTTGGTGTTGGAGTGGTGTTTGCTACTCTCCGGCCTGTGGTGAGAGCCTTCTGCCAGGCTGGTGCCGCCGCCGGACAGCCTCCATGGAAGTCACTCCCGCGCGGGGCGTGGCGACCGAGATTGAACGGTGCGAGGCCGGCGGCGGCGTGGAGCCGGTGCCGGCCGCGTCCGCGCAGCACGAGGAGCGCGTGCCGCCGTGGCGCGAGCAGATAACGGCGCGGGGCCTGGTGGCGGCGCTGCTCATCGGCTTCGTCTTCACCGTCATCATCCTCAAGCTCGCGCTCTCCACGGGCATCATCCCCACGCTCAACGTCTCCGCCGCGCTGCTCGCGTTCCTCGCGCTCCGCGGGTGGACGCACGTGCTTGGGCGCCTCGGCGTGCCCTCCCGCCCCTTCACCCGGCAGGAGAACACCGTCGTCCAGACCTGCGCCGTCGCCTGCTACACCATGGGGTTCGGCGGTGCGCGCCCCCGCCTCTCCTCCCGGCACCACTCCGTTTAGCATCCCGCCGGGTCTTTCTCAATTAGTCCACGGCTGCATCTACAACATGGGGAATATTGTGCGCGCAGGTGGGTTCGGGTCGTCGTTGCTGGCTCTGAACAAGAAGACGTACGAGCTTGCCGGGGTGAGCACGCCGGGCAACGCGCCGGTGAGCTATAAGGAGCCCGGGTTCGGGTGGATGGCCGGATTCCTACTAGCCATTAGCTTCGTGGGGCTCCTCAACTTGCTTCCGCTCAGAAAGGTGTGCTAAAATCGTTCAACGTATCATCAGCTCTGTCTCTGCAAATTCAGGACTTTCTTTCCCCGGGTTCACAGTACCATGTGCTTTACATTCTACTCTAGTTTTGTACTCCATGTCACATTTTCGTTAGCATTGACCAATGGTAAACTGAACTAAATTTGTAGAATGAAAAGAGGAAACTCGTAGGATAAATGTGACAGACTTACACACCCTTTCTCAATTTATCATCTTATATACTCGCACAAAAAATATGCTGCTACAGGTTTGAAGGCATACATGTTTTTGTAAGATAAAGCAATAATTTTAGTTGCTGTGATGAAGACATACATGTAAAACACCATTTATGACCGTATATTTTTGTGTCTCCTCCGATGGTTTGCATCCCATTTCAGGCTTTGGTCATAGATTACAAATTGACTTATCCAAGCGGGACTGCAACTGCTGTACTCATAAACGGGTTCCATACCCCTCAAGGAGAAAAGAACGCAAAGTACAAGCCTCTTGTCCCACATATGCTGAAAAAATCATCAGTCTTGACGATACATGGTGAATTCATGGCCTGACTTCATCTCTCATGTCAGAATGCAGGTCCGTGGATTTGTGAGGAGCTTCGAGATCAGCCTCCTGTGGAGCTTCTTCCAATGGTTCTACACAGGTGGCCAGAGTTGTGGGTTTCTACAATTCCCTACTTTTGGTCTAAAGGCTTGGAAACAAACGTATACCCTATGGGTTGCCCATTGCTCATAGTTCTGTTTTCATGCTAATTTGTCTCATGCCTAATTCTCCTAACTCTTGACTCTTTCAACTATCAGGTTCTTCTTTGATTTTAGTCTCACATATGTCGGCGCGGGGATGATCTGCTCACACCTTGTAAACCTATCCACACTTTTCGGTGCGGTACTTTCTTGGGGAATAATGTGGCCACTCATCAGCAAACAAAAGGGCATTTGGTACCCGGCAAATGTACCAGAAAGCAGCATGACAAGCTTGTTTGGTTACAAGGTTTGCTTGATAAATCACTTGGTAATTTCAAATGAATCTACACGACACCCTGTACTTTCGTACAACCTTTAATGTGTTTTTATGTGCAGTCCTTCATGTGTGTAGCTCTGATCATGGGGGATGGCCTCTATCACTTCATCAAACTCACAGGCATCACTGCTAAGAGTCTGCATGCACAATCCAACCGTAAACATGTTAAGAGAGGTAAATATGCACTGCAAAATTAATTAATTCCACATTTTGTCACCAAAGCTTTAGCTAATGCTGAGTGAATTGCAGCGGCAAACGAGGATACAGTTTCATTTGATGATTTGCAGCGCAATGAGGTCTTCACCAGGGAATACATTCCAAACTGGCTAGCGTATGCCGGATATGCCTCATTAAGCATCATTGCTATAATTGTCATACCGACAATGTTCCGGCAGGCCAAGTGGTACTATGTCGTTGTAGCTTATGTGCTTGCTCCCGTGCTGGGGTTCTCCAATGCCTATGGAGCTGGGCTCACTGACATGAGCATGAGCTATAATTATGGCAAGATTGCTCTCTTCATCTTTGCAGCCTGGGGAGGGAAGGATGATGGTGTCATTGCCGGCCTTGTTGGTTGTGCGATAGTGAAGCAGCTAGTGCAAGTCTCCGCAGATCTGATGCATGACTACAAGACGGGCCATCTGACACTGACATCACCGAGATCACTGCTTGTCGGGCAGGCCATTGGTACAGTCATGGGCTGCATCATCGCGCCGTCTACATTCTTGCTCTTCTACAAAGCATTTGATATTGGAAACCCAGACGGGTACTGGAAGGCCCCGTACGCGCTGATATACCGGAACATGGCCATTCTCGGCGTCGAGGGCTTCTCTGCACTGCCAAAGCGTTGCCTCGAGCTGTCTGCAGCTTGCTTCGCATTTTCTGTGCTCGTCAACCTTCTGAGGGACTTCTCGACGCAGAAGTACCGGAAGTACGTTCCCCTTCCGATGGCGATGGCTGTGCCGTTCCTAGTTGGCGCCAACTTTGCCGTCGACATGTGTGTAGGGAGCTTGGTCGTCTTCAGCTGGCACAAGATGAAGAGAAAGGAGGCCACGCTGCTGGTGCCTGCAGTTGCCTCTGGTTTTATCTGTGGAGATGGTATATGGATGTTCCCTTCTTCGTTGCTTTCTCTTGCTAAGGTTAACCCGCCCATCTGCATGAAGTTCACACCGGGAAGCTAGAGAAACGGCCATTTCATGGATGGATCTAGGATGATCCCTCAGACACTAAATTTGATACTTGTACATATGTTTCTGATGTTCTTTTCTTTTTCACTGTGCTTCCATGATTGATGAGGTATTTCTTTAGGTGTTCTGTTGGTGTATAAAACTAAATACTAGACAAAGCATTGTTTGATTGTACTTGACATTTTATAGTACTGTATATATACGAAGCATAGTAGTAATCTGTGTGTGAGAACTGAGAAGTCGGTCAGCAGTGGCGGAGCTAGACGTATTCTGCTGGGGGCCAATGGGAAAATATGAGTGTTTGAAGGGGCCAAAGGCTAAAAATGTTTTTATCTA